CCACCAAGAACAGGAAGTCACTGTTACACAGTACGAGCTACACTCCCAATTTTAAATGTGATTTTTGCACACTGTTAGGCAAAGTCTAGAAGTTTTCTGCCAGTGAAATTCTCTCCTTGTTGAAGACAGGTTTTCACCTCAAAAATTTACATCACTAACTTAACAGGTCCTGCAAGAGTGCTGGATCAGTTACCGATGGGGAATCCTGTATTTGGGCTGGTGAAGAGCCGGTGTCTGTAGAAGATGTGTTTTTACGTCCTTGCCAGAACGACCACCTTCCCTCCCTCCCCAGAGCTGTGCCACCGCAGCAAGCACTCCATCTGACCACGGAACAGGGAGACAAGACAAGAACCAGCTCCAGTAGTACAGCCAACAGTAACTTCTTTTACTTCCTGGAAAATTACAATCCCGTCTTAAGATCAGATGCGGCAGGATCCCAACTTGGTTTTGCCTAAAATAGCTATTTTTCCTCTGCCTTTTACATAAAAAGATACTGCTATTACTCAAGTTTTTCCACTGAGCTGATAATAAAAAGTACCTTTTACGATCAGAAAGCCCCAAACAAGTTTCAGGTTCAAGTTACCGCTGTTCAGCTTAAGATTTCAGAAAGCTCTTGGAACCGCCTTTCAGCTTCAATGATTTACCGTGTGCCTGGAAGACCTAAACCTCATGATGGTTTTCTGCTGCCACCACGTTTAACAGAGATGCTACTGGCCTCTTCACTAGGAAAAAGCACGCTCTGCCAGTAACCAGACCAAGTGTCTTACACAGAAATACTACCCTGTCGCAAGCGTTTACATAATTCTTAGTGTAATTTAACGTTTTTCAAAGTGCTTATACTACTCTCCTGTATGCAACAGATGACTGATACAGTAGGACAGACATTATCCACACTCCAGAAAGCTTAGGAGCAAAACCTATAATCCTGTTGTCAACAGCACACAAGATTTGTATGAAAAAATGAGGCTACAGGAGGGCAAGATGAACAAAGCTAAGAGCAGCAACAGATTGAGAAACGCTTCCAAACTTCTTGACAATTTTAAATGTAACTTATCAAATGTGCAATTAAAAAGCTTGTCCAAATAATGAGCAGGGGGTGCTTTGTTTTGGTGGTGATTTTTCGTTCGGGTGGGGTTTTTTGTGTTTTTTCTAAGAAGAGGAAGGAAGCAGGTACAGCTGTACCTACAGACAGTAAACATTCTTGGCAGCCCAGAACCAGGGACACATGGCACACTCTTCCATCCACGGATGGGAGCACACAGAACACCTCTTTCCGCACACGTTCCGAGGGAAGAGCAAACACAACCAAGCGCTGTGCCACAACAGGATTTTGATGAGGAATGCTTACATGTTAGCAGCTCCCTAGCCCACCCAGAGCACAACCCGGGTTTGTGCTCAGAGAGAAAACCAGGAAGCCACCAGCCAAGAGGGACAACAGCCAGAGGACATAGCAGGATGAACGCAGGATCACCATGAATGTTTTTAGGTAAGCGCTTGCTATGTCACCCAGGCTGGAACACCACCAACCACTTGTATACGATCCTTACGCTACTTCTGCTGACTTGTGTGATGGCCATAGGACTGAAGAGGGATCTCTTGCAAAACCCTAGCTTGTCCTACTTGCCTTTAGGGCTTTAAGACCAGACCCCACTCGTAATGCACTTTTGGTCAGGTCCGCCTCAAGCCGACAGGGAGCTACAGAGAACTAAAGGAACTGCAATGCGTGACTGCAAAACAGGCCTCTAACTTCCTCTTACCCACGGACCACAACAGCGGACAGAGCCTACATCGTACTTTTAAGGGGTTACAGAGATGGGAATCCAATAGAAAACTACAAGGAGCTGATTTTTCAGCCTTTAACCTCTGAACTGAGAACCTAAAGCACGAAGAGTCCCCCTTCAAACAGGCCTCAGCTAGGTCAGAGTGAAGAAGCTGATGTTTTGCTATGACCTTTTCAATGTTACTCTCGACGTTATAGAGGAAGGTGGGGTTTTTTGTTCTGTTTTGGTTTTTAACTATCGCAAGCACCAAAGGTCAATACTGAAACTGAGGTTGGAGACAGCACTGACGAAAAGGAAATGAGGATAGGGAAGTGTGAACCCTCATTAGAATAAAACAAGCCAACTCTTCAACTCCCAGGTAATAAAAAGTTCTGTCCGCTCCAACACCTCTGGCAGGACAGGAACAGCAGGAAACGTTTGTGGCTTCAGCTGGCCATACTGCTCACACATGTCATTTCCAGGAGAACCATTACATACACAACCACAACTCCCGCTGACCACAGCGGTAAAACCCATCTAACTCAGAGAGTGCTCGGCCCCCCAAGTGCCTACCAGGCGAACTGCGATCCCTCCACCGTGTTAGTGGGGTAGCCCAGAAATTGTCTCATTTAGCAGTACATCTAGGGAGCTTTTATGCTGTCACCTAACTTCTGAATTTGAGTTTTAAAGTTTGAAGTTTTAATTTGAAAGTTTTAGATTGAAAATATAAACAGGCAATTTCATCCATCTGAAGACACTGGATACATTTTTGAAAACACTAAGGCATGTTGCAAATCAGACAATTTTTGGGTGTAGTTAGTTTTAAACCTTTATTCTGAAGACTCTCTGGCCACCTACACAAATTGACTTTCATACACACCTCTCATAAATGTGCTGTTCTTAAGCATTTACCTGTTGTGAGGAGAAAAAAGCCATTTCTGCTGCTGAGAAGAGGGCACATTTACCAGAAATAGGGTTTTGGGTTTTAAACATCAAGTCCTGTAGGTCCCACGGGTGGCTGGGGGGTAGCTGTAGCCTGGGAGTGTCTGCCAAAACTCTCCATGCTGTTGAGTCACTTCTATCACCTCTTCCACGAGAGAACCTCTAGCGTTCA